ACGTTAGATGTCGCTGAAAATTACACACTGTAGCTTTAATGTTACTAGTCAGCTGCAGAATCTGTTTTAACATTTAAGCATTTGTTGCTGTTTTGTTAACGAGTTTTCATTCAGTTTGGTCCAGTCATTGTTGTATCTGTTGAATCCATACGCAGGAGGCATGCCAAAACCCCTCAAACTCGAAATGAAGATGTCTTTCACTATTTAACAAGTTAAGCTTTTTGTTCACATCTATGATGGCAACGCTTGTTTAGTTTGTAAGTGATTATATCTCTGATTGCCAGGAGAGGGAGCCAGAGTTCTCTGCCTCTTTCTCAGCTCCTCTTCACTGAGCTGCTAGGACATTTCTCTCTTTAGGGTTTGTCTTTACATTCACCACAGTCACTAGAACCTGAAAACAATATATTTTTTTATAATTTGACTGGCACCACGGAGTCTGTGCTTCATTCTGCTACAATAATTTGATTTGGTTTTGTTATCTGGGTTGAGGCTGGGCCTAACTTCTATTTGTTGTCTGCCCCTCATGGACTGAGAGCTTTTATTTATCACCATAAAGCGGATTATCTAATTCCCGGCAGAAGCGGCCTGTGAGAGCAGGCTCTGTTTAATATAAGTAAAGCCTCCTCGGACTGGAGCTATTGTTTGGCAGAGATTTTAGTGCACTGCATGACTCTGTGCTGTGGATTCTGGGGCATGTGCCTTACAGCATGCAGATATCAGCTGCGGCCCTTTGTATTTTTTTTTTAATCTAATCTTATGTAACTTCTTGCACAGTTTTACACAAAATAGCTGGACTGTTACAATAACGACAACCTGACATCCACATAAATTACCGCTTCTGTTTGTGAATGATGATGTGAAAGTTGTGGCAGATTGTTCTGTGACACTTTTGGGTTCATTGGGCACTTGGGTGATGACTGAAATGTGAGGTAGGATTGCTGCTGTGTTGTCTGTAAATAAAGAAACGCTGCTGGTGTTTGGCTTCAGATGAATGCCTGCTTATGACTTTGTTTGGCAAAACAGTGGTCATAAAAACAGGAGACTTTGTTGGTTATATTGAATCAGGAAAAGGGCTCTCATAGATTTATCCCAAAATATTCTCTTTTCTCTTTTGATTTATAGTACTGCTTTTTTTTTTTTACTGTGATTGAGATTTTCTTTGTTTTGTTTTTTTGTTTTTTTTTATCAGTGTCCTGTCTGGCAATGTGGCAATAAGAATAATTGTCTTGATGTCAAAAAGAGCCCAATAGATTTTACTTTCACAAGTGTAGCAGTATGGCAATTTATGCATATAAATTAAATATATATAAATATAAATTAATTATAATTATGCAGGGAGTATTACAGATTATATGGACACTGCAATGTAAGTAGAAAAGGAAAGGAAAAACAGGAAAAAAATGAGAAAAGATGAAAGGGAGATAATGATAAAAACCTTTTTAGTCTGCTTCATCACCTGCAAAGATGTAAAAAGAACAGTACAATCAACAGATATAAGAGATACAATAAAGTAGCACCTTGATACTATCGCTGAAGTATAAGTATTATTATTTAATCTGACATGTATACTGTGGTAGCTGAAGATAAGAATATGGGCTTTCTGTATGGAAGTGAAACTCCAAGTACCTGGAACCAAGCACCTGTAGTTGTTTGTGAGAGTGCACTTGTGCATGTAAAGTTTATCCAAGGGGAAAAATGCTCAATAGTGGTTTTGGAGAGCCAAAGACCGGCCCCCCCAGAGCACCGAGGCGAGCGGTAGGGGACCCAAAGCCCCAGATGTCCAAAGATATCCCCAGAGCAAAGGCGCCCAGTAGGGGCAAACACAGTGATTGAGATTTTCTCCTGGTTTTACCTTCAGGGAAATTATCGCTGTTGATCTAAACTCCTAAAAAATTAGATGGGGCTATTTTTAAGCAAAGTGTTTAATGAAGTTGGTTAAACTTCTGGAGTAAGGATTTAATCTTCTCTAGTAGAAATGGTTGGCAAAATAAATGATCAGGAATGAGATGACACCAAAAACAGGAAGCATTTTAAAGATTTAGAGGTTGCACAGACCGTACAACTCCACATTTGTCAGAGAGGATGGAGGAGATCCGGGAGACTTGCAGCTTCTTTAGGACAGAACAGAAAAATTACAGAAGTCCCCATCCCATTTTTAGGAGTGGTATCTGTTCCTTTGGGTAAGATAGAACAGGATGGTTCTTCCAGGGCTCCACAGGGTGACCTGGATTGGGCCATCAGCACAGACTTATACAGGATAAAAGATGGCACTCTGAATGCCATTAGGGGTCTAGATGCTGCTGTAACGCCACAATTTCCCCATTGTGGGACAATAAAGGGTCATTTCTATTCTACTCTATTTCTAAGTCATTAGAACCATTGTTAGAACCTAAGTGGAACCTCTGCTCATCCTGCAGTTCTTGCCTATCTGGAACTCCATGCTGCTCTGACCTAAAATAAATAATAAAACATCTTTTAGAAACCATTTGTTAGTCCCATCAGATGCTTCCAGGTTGCATGTTAGACTGTCCAGTGGTACCCTGGTCAGGATTTGGGAAGAGCTTCTCAAGGATACCATCAGTCATCTTAAACACACTGCAAAAATTGTAAATCTAAAGCATTTTTTCTTGAATTGAGCAGATAAGAGAGTCACTTTGCCAATGGAATACAACAATTTACATTTAAAATGAGAAAAAAAAAAACTGCAGTCTCTTCTTTCAAGTGCATAATAACTAATTATCTTATTTTAATGGTAAAAATGCTCATTCTATTGGCATTTAATCTTATTTTCCTGCTAATATTAAGGGTAAATATACTTATTTTAAGAACATTTGGCTCATTTTCAGAACGTTTTTGCAGTACATTTATGTATTGCCTCATTTTTTATTTATTTTTGGCCTGAATTTGAGAAACGTAACACAGAGAAGAGGTCATGTTTTAATCTGAATACCTCAAGTCAGTACAGACACTTAGCCAAGGTGGAAGTGCATTAGGACTAGTGCTGTACCAGTAATGCTGGTAGTAAGGAAGGAGCTAGGATGAATAAGCAAGTTGCTATCTAGGTCATTCTAATTTAGCATTGTACCTCTAATTTAACCCAACATTTTTAGTTGCTTCTCAGTGCTATATGGTTGTCAACAATCCTTAGTGTGACAGCATATATAGGCACTGTTCACCTCATGGAGTTCAATAAAAAAAACATTATTTCTTTACATGGACTCTGTGACAAATGCTAATGTACAAAAAATAATATACTTTGGGTTTTATAAACTTCAGTTGTTTGCTGCATTTGTGTAATTTTGCAGTTATTTTCTAGAAGGCTGCATTCCTAATTTAACCAGTGTTATTTATGTTAGTGCCTGCCTTTTAATGCTGTCTGAGGGCTGTCTGGATTCAGCCCAGCAGTCTGGAGCTCCTTTCCTACCCTAGATAGTTTTTTTTTGTGTGTGTGTGTGTGTGTGTGTGTATGAACTAGGAAAAGGTGATCGGAGATATAATTTGAGGTCTTTGGTCCATTTCTCAGCTCTTTCATAGAGCTACCAGGTTCTACTATTTTTATGGGTACAGATTTCTTTCATATTGATGTTGGAATCCTAACCAGAATCAAATATCTATATAATTTGGACTTGAATTATGAAACAATGATATATTTTTATTCAGCTAAATCAATAAAGTAATTCCTGAAAAACCTGAGCATTCTGTGTATGTATTATTTTTGATAAAATTGTTTTGATAAAGTTTTAGCTATAGTTGAAATGTTTTTTTTCTGTTTTGATGTACAGCGCTTTAAATAGTTTTGCAGCTGAAATGTGTTATAATGTGTTATACCTAGCTATGACTTTTAGGATACTTTACATATTTGTAGATCTTTTCACAATTTACTTCAACTCTTTATTATAATAGATTTATTTTGATTATAGATAGAATAAATCATTTGAATTGGTTTAACCTTTATCCTTGGCTTGGCGTTTAAAATGGTTTGACGCAGCATTCAACAAAGAGAAATAAGAACTGAGTTCATGAAAGAAGCAGACCTGTTTAGTATAAGCCATATAAGTGATGCTCATTGGTAAGCCAGCCAGGAGTAGGTTTTTTCTGTGTGTTTATCTGAGCATTTGTTTAAACCCAGGGCCAGATCGCCAGATAAGGCCAGAACCCCAAAACGATGCATTATACTCAGCTCACATTGTTGTCAATACGGTTTAAAAAAGAAATGCTGTATGCTCAGTGTAACAGATTAACCAAATAATTTCCACCCCCTCTACTTTTTAATGGTCTGTTACTTTACACCAACAAATTAGGACATATTGTAATTGGATTATAAAATACAACTACTCAAAATATTGCATATTCATGAAATGGAAGAAATTGATAAATGGTTTGTTAGATTATCTCGATACATGCAAAGCTGAGTTGTATTTAGTCCCATCCATCAATTCTTTCTACTGGTGGCTTTTAATTGCATTTATTCAGATCAGACCAAGGAGTATATGAACATCCATTTCTAACGTCTTAGAACAAATTTGAATTTGGCCGCAGTGTTTCAAACAATACATTACCTTAACCGTTCCAATATAGCTTGCGCTAAATGTTTAGGGTCATTTTCTAGTTAGAAAATAATCCACATTGAAATAAAAAAAAAAAATCTGACCAGCTTCCCAGACTTTTCTGACGAAAAGCATACCCACAGCATGATGCAGCCATCGCTGTGTTTCATGGCAGGGATGATACGTTCAAAGTGATGCGCAATTTATACCTGAGCTCCAATTCTCTCCAAATGCTTCCTTCATGCAAGCTGCTTTCACTGTTCCAGAGGTCCAGGAAGCTATTTTCTGTACCTTTTATCATAAAGACAAAACTCCAAAGCAGATATATACGTTTTAAGATATGATTTTCAAGTATTTTTTTTTTAAGCCTTCCAAAGTCAACTATTGGCAAATATTGCCTTTTACACTATGATGCGTTTATTTGTTACAAAATATTCTGGAGCCATTTTTTCAAACCTGGATTAAAAACAATTGCCTTAAGTGTGACGCCCTTTCTCTGCTGTTAGGGTGCCGCCCTGGAGACGCAACAGCGTGGTATCAGGCCACTTCTTTGGAAAGGCTAAGCAAATTTCAAGATCTCTAGTAGTGCGTAGAGCAAGAGGTTGATCACTGCTTTATGTAAAACGGTGATGGCCATTTGTTTCCCAGGACAGGGAGGGGCTGGGAGCGAAATTCATGAGATTCACTCAGACATGCATGAAACAAATTGAATATCCTTCTGTGCATGATTTGTAAAAAAAAGAATAGCATTTTAAAAATTATCATAGGTTAAAGTTTTATATATATATATATATATATATATATATATATATATATATATATATATATATATATATTTTGGCCCTTCTAATATTGCTGACTGTGCAGCATTTCTAACTTTCATTTCTTAAATTCTAGTTTCCTGCTTAGTCAACTGAAGCTTGTAAACAAAGTGGTAGAAAAATGTCTAGTTTTATATTATAATGATGTCTGAGACATACTTTTTAAACTTTTTGATATAGTTATGTTGTTCTCGAGTGCTATTTTTAAAATAGATTTGAATTCAGACATCTCCTTTAATCCCTGAATTAAAATGTTTTGAGGGTCATGATGTGCGCTGATGCTACTTCTTTTGAATTGATTTAAGATGGCTAGATGTTACACAAGTTAAACCTCTCCCATCATTGATTACTTTTAAATGTTCTCAAGCTCTGTGTTTTATGACGTGATAGATTTTGGAACGGCAAAAGATTTGAGGACGAGCACTGTCTGCACGGAGAGTGGGAGTATTCCAGGTGCCGTATATGAGTGTGAATCAGTTCTCTGAAGCTAACTGGTGGTGGGGAAAATCTCCTGGTTTCTCACTCTTATTTTGGTGAAGGAGAAATGTCAGCATCTTTAACAAAAGTCTGTTAAATGGCCGCTTTTAAATAAGTTTTAACCCCCCTTAGCGTTAAGCTTTTGGTGTTCTACTGCAGTCTGGCTGCTGCTGCTTAAATACCTCAGCATGATGCAGTAATACTTCAGTCAAGGCTGCTCTTTGTGCTTTGAAAAAAAAAAACAAAAAAACAGTATGTTCCTGTTTTCTCTCTAACCTCAACTGAGTGCCCCCTTACATAACAAAAAAGTAAATAAAAAAATAAAAAGTTTGGAATAAATTGCACACTGTCTCTAACAAAATTCAGCTTAATATCTATGTCATGTTTTTTTCCTTCCTTGATATTTTAGGTTATGCTAGAGGCATAAACTAAACTGCTTGCAAGGAATATTTGATGGATTAAAGGGAGGGGAGTGGATGTTTCAGGATTAGGATTAAAGGGTGTAATAAAGTCTTTAGAGGTTTCCCTTGCACTCTGTGCATACTGAAAAAATTTTTTTCTTTTTATCCTGGGAAATGTGAAGTATGCTGTGGCCTACTTTATTTCTAGGGGCAGTTTACTGTTTCAAGTTCTTCCCAAATCCTTTCAGCTTCACTTCCTTGCATCATTTGCATCACTATGTTGTTTGCATGCCCCCCGGTGTCCTTTCAGCCTCCCCCTAAAATCCTCAGTGTGTGTATGTGTCTGGCTGAGACAAGAAGCAGCCCTAAAAGACGGCCCGGATACTTGGCCTCTTCTATTGAATCGGCCGAGGTGGAAAGAATGAAAAGAATCGCTTACCCAGAGAGGACATTTCCTCTGTGTGACAGTCTTGGAAGGGTTTAAGGATAACCACACACACCAGTTGGACTGTCTACTGTGGGGGATATAATGTATTAGCATATCCATGACAGGTTACATGTCTCAGACTTGGCCTCCATCCAGCTGGATTACAGCGAGTTTAGAATAAAAGGCTGCCTTAAAAATCAGCCTGCACGGGTTTAATAACTTACAGCTGATGCAAAACATTATAAAAAAATCCATAGGCAGCTAGAAAAACTAGAAATATGCATGCATTGTGTATTTATATTCTTAAAGTTTGACGTTTTTGAAGCCACTTTATCTCGCAAAGAGTAAAAGCAGATAACATTATCTGCATTATCTGGGGGTTTGCTTAGTTTGACTACAAACCACATACAATATGACATATATATATATCTTTCTGAACTTATGATAATTTTTGTAAGACTAGAAAAAAGTAACCGTGTGTAATTTAACTTTAAGGGGAAGGGGAAACATATGAGAATTAAAAAAAAAAAGTATCTTTTCAGAAACTGAAACATACGTTTCTTAAGAAAAACAAACGTCATATTTTATAAATTGAGTGCATACTGTAATGTTTTAGCTTTTATTGTGATGATTAGGTCTACAGCTAATGAAAGTTTAAGAAATAGAATCTTACAGTTAAATGAAAAATAAAGGAGTCATTGATAATAATCCCCTGGTCCTGGTGAAATAAACTGTTCACAGGAGGCTGTATCCAAGCATATTAATAGAAAGTTGAGTGGAAGGAGGAAATATTGGTAAAAAAAAAAAAAAAAGGTTTACTTGCAACTGACTAAAATAAAAAAAGATTATGAGGCAAATAGATTTAATTGTTTGGGGGGGGGGTTCACACAGTGGGAACTGAGGCTTGAGTATGAGCTTTAAAGGCTGGTTTATACTCAGAAACCAGGTCGTCTGCGTGTGTGTTGCAGTTAACGTAGATATGCCTCCACCCCTTCTGCAGACACTCTGCTGCACTTCTCTAAAATTCTAGGTGACCACAGACAGCGCCGCAGGCAGGAGGCCTCTGATTGGTCAAATCTACATCCGCTCTACAGTATGTGCATTTCCTGTTTGGTACCTTGCCGGCTTGTTTTGTTTTTATGACCGCTATTGTGGAAAACGACTCGTGAAGATGGACTAGCTAGAAGAGCGAGGTGTGCGAAAACGCTTGGACCCTTTTTCCACCTGGATTCCCGCTCTTTTTCACCCTCATGTCCCTGCGCCGTCACACAAACTTGCCCCTTGCATTTTTCCACTTCCTCACCGCCTCGGCCGTATCTAGACCCACCGCTAGTTCGTGATTGTCCCTCTAGCATTGTGGCGTGGAATAACATAGTGCAGACCACGCTTCAAAATTGGGCATAAATCAAAAATGTCTGCGTCACACCTGCAACACACTGCTGCTGTAGTATAACCAGCCCTTAAGAGCCACAAAAACAAACAGATTCAGGATCTGAGTTACAGCCATCATATACCTTGTGTTAAACCACTCCTGAACCAAAGATGATGCCGGAAGCTTCAGGGTCAGTGATCCAAAATCCTTTTTCCAGGTGAAAAGTAAGTTTCGTACGACTTTCAAACCCCAAACTCTTCCAAACCTTCTGGATTTTATAGAAAATGGGTTTTTACCTTCAGCCTTTCCGAGCAACTATGGTGTGTCATAGTGGTCTTTTTTTTTTGGTTTATTAACCATCCCTACAACAACTAACATTGATGCTTAAGACAATAATGACCTAAATATGTTAATATGGTAAAGAAAAGTGTGTATTTAAGCTCTAATACTTGGTCTGTGCTGGAGAAACACTTCCTGTAATGTGTAATTTGTTGCTTTTGTTTAGAAACTGACCCCTCTCTCTTTGGGGCCAATGGTGACTGGGAGATTTTCTGCAAAAGTTAAAATATGGCTTGGTTCTGGGGTTAATAATTTATATATTTTTTTTCACATCAAGCAAATATTAACTGGACGTTAGCTGCAATCAATGCCCGTGTTGTACTTACCCTGTGTAATTTCTATGTTGGTTTGTCTTTAACTTGGTAAAGGGTTAAACATCGATGCTGGTCTGTCGCTTGGGCAACAGGGTTGAGGAATTCAGCACTTCAGTGTGTTTGAACAGAGGTATCTCTTGTAATTATTTCTGATGAGTTTAAAAACATCTATTATCCCATTTTTGTCTTGTGTAACAGAGTCGGTGTGGATCCAGATCAAGACGTCCAGCCCTCTGGAGATAGCTTCCAAGTCCTCCAGGGGGTAAGAAACTCACTCAGATTCATTTAGGACTCTATGAAACGGTTCCAGTTTTTCTTTAATTTTGTTCAAAGTTAGCAAACCTGAGCACTAGGAAATTATGCATCATTAAAACAAAGTGAACATTGCTGAAAAGTGTCCAACAGTAGGTTTGCTTTTAAATCAGGCCATTTGAAATACAAACTGAAAAGCATTTTCTAATTGCAAATTTTGAATTGAATTATTAAAGGTTAATTGTAATTGTATTTATTAATCCCTTATTAAATATAGGTGTTTTCAAATCCTGTTTCTAAATGGAGATTTAAAAGCCAAAATTTATAAATGTAATTATAAATACATTTCCTAATCACACATTTAAGAGGGTTCCATAAAAGTAAAAAAAAAAAAACTTTGTTTCCAAGATTTGAAGACGTTTCGCCTCCCCTCCAGGAAGCTTTCTGAATTCAAATGGTTTAAGAGAGTAATTCCATTTTCTCTTTTTGACTTCCATTTTCAAATCCTTTTTGAAATTGCATTTTATTTTTACTTTACTCTCTCCATTTACCTTTTCTGTGACCCTTCTGGTCCCTAAGCGCACTGGAAACCAGTTTGACCAATCACAGTTGCTCCTCAGATATAACGAGCTCCCTCATTGGTCATTTTGTTAAGCGTGGCATTCTGACCAATGAGAGAGTTTAACTGCTTTCCAGTGTGCTCAGGATCCAGAAGGGTCACAGAAAAGGTAAATGAAGTTACATCAATGTGTATTTATTCATGTAGAAATCATTACTTAATTAGTTGAGGGGCAGAAAAGAATAAAGAAGGACCAGTATAAAATTCTCTGAGACAAACTTATCTTTGAGGAAAAATCTGTTAGTGAAAAGGTGCACTGGTTTTTGGAATGGAAAACCTTCCAGACAGATAACCTTATTTTCTCTCTTACGTCTCTCAAAATGAAAGTAGAGTCTGACCCAAATCTTTGCATAGGTCTGAGCATGGCCTGCACTCCTTCCCTGTGACTGTTGCATCTGCAGAGCTATTCCAAATTTAAATAATCAGAATATCAGGCTATCAGATCTCTTACACTGTTATCAGTGACTTTGCAAAAACTAAAGTAGGGAAGTACATGTTTAGAATTGTAGTATTGAGGAAGAACAGAGTAACATAAAAAGGTCAAATATGTGGGTAAAGCTAGTTTGTTTTCAAATGGAGCTTTTGCATATTGTTGCATATTTTACATAGTTTTACACGCAAATCATTCAGCCTTAAACTCCTTTTTCTACCTGGTTTCATGTAACTTTCTACATTGGGAAAACAAATGAGTAGAAATTTCTTATATTAAGTGTATTTATCCTTAATTTGAGTAGTTAAATTAGATATTTTGCCAATGGAATTAGTATTTTTACTCTTAAAATAAGATAATTAGATAATATGTACTTGAAATAAGACATTACAATTGTCTTTTCTTATTTAAAGTGTAAATTGTCTTGTTCCATTGGCAAAATGTCTCTTTTACCTCCTCAATCAAAGAACAAATGCACTTATTTTAAGAAAAAAAACGTATCTAGATTTTGATTTTTTTTCCCAGTGTACTTCAATTTCAGGTAATGTTTTACTTAAGAGCATGAGTAATATTTTATTGTTCGATTAATATATGTTTGAGTGTGGGGAACATTATTTTTTATTTAACAAAGTTTGTTTTATATGTTGTTCTTGTAACAGAGGTTTTTTTTATGTACCTTTCTGATGCAGTTGAAACCAAAACATTTAAACCACGTGAAACTTAACCTGTAAAAAAAAAAAAATGCATTCTAGTTTGTTTTATTAGTTTTAGTAGCACTAGATGATGCATACAAACGGGAGACTGTTTACAGCACAGCCAGAGCTGCAACAAGTTTATTGTACATGTGTGAATGATCTGATCATTGCAGCAATAGATATTATTGACTGAAATAGATGGGCTCAAAGTCAAATTTTGCTTGGGGCCCCATGGAGGATTGGACTGGCCCTGATATCTGAGACGCAATCTCTTCTTGGTAAATCTATCATTCTTGCAGTTTCCTTCCTGCAGGAGCTCAAACAGGAAGGTTAAAGTGACTATTCTTATTTACGGTCACAGGTTACTCAAACAGAAGAATATTTTTATTGTGGATCCCATGTTTCTGGCACGGCCGGAAAGATCAAAGACGTACACATGATTGTTTTCTTCCCGATGCTACCGAATAAAAGAGAAAGGGAACTGCTCTGCAGCAGAGTTTGGTAGCTCTGTCACGTCCCAACTGTGAAGCTTCCCCTTCCTGGAAGCTGTCATGGAAAAAGGTTAAAAATATGAATCCTGAGATTTGGTCTTTACAGTGTCTTTTGTTCTTTGTGTGTAGTTCAGTCCTTGCGCTCCTCCCATGGCTGGACCTAACTAAAGAAAACATTAGAATGGGTGTGGTAGATGTGTTTTCATATATGCTTTTAGGACTTGTCCACCTGTTCTATTGACGGTGGTCCAGCCTGTCAGGGTATTGACTCAAAGGGTGATACAGTTAAATGTATATCATTTTGCAATTTCAGTCATTAGATCAACCATTATGATCTTATATATCAAATATAAGCAGACATATGTGTCATAGAGAGGGAATAACAGGTCCACTAATGGGTGGGACAATTTAGGCAGGAGGTAAATATTCTGGTGAAGATTCTCCGTCATCCAGGTCATAGTCATTCCAAAAAAAGTAAAAAAAATAAAAATAAAAATCGACTGGACTTTGTTTCCAAGTTTGAAGGCGTTTTGCTTCCCATCCAGGAAGCTTTTTCAATTCAAAATGTCAGAAATAGTGTTGAGTTCAAGGCTTTATATACTGTAGTTGACCAAAGCAAAGCCTTGTTTTGGCTTAGAAACATGCAACATGCAGTAGGTAAACAAGTTCTTTTCAAACATGATATGATATATATAAAAATAGATTTAAAAAAAAATTGGCAAGTCTAAAGATTTCCGTATCGGGGGGCCAGATCGTGATGTCCATATGAGCAAAACTATACGTGTGGGATGTCTTTGTGCTGCAGTGGTGAGAATCATTTTAAAATTGGTCATGCTGAGCCCAAAGCTCCTTTATGGAGAAATTGTTTATTAGAAGAAGCATCAACTTCCCAATCTGTTGGATCAAAGTGTCCCAAAATGCAGGGCATACTAAGTTACTGCTGTACAGCTAGAGATCATTCAGGGGACCCATGGTGACGCCTATCCACGTCTAAAGGCACTATCAAGGGTTACATTAGCATTAAAACTGGAGGCTGGATCACTTGGCCTGATATTTTAAACTTCTGTTGCACACATGGTTGTTTGCATGTCTCTTAACTAGACTGCCAGACACCATGATGAACTATTGGAAGAAGCTAAGAGAATCGACAGATTGTGACACCAGTGTGGAGGTGAACTTTTCAATGCACGTAACTTACTTTAATTCAATTCAATTCAGTTTATTTCTATAGCGCCAATTCACAACACATGTCATCTCAAGGCACTTTAACAGATCAATACACACTTCAACCAGATCATACAGTCAAATTGATTCAAAGTTTTCTATCTAAGGAAAATCAGTTGATTTCATTGACTCAAATACAATCCCTCACGCTAAGCATGCTTGTAGTGACAGTGGAGAGGAAAAACTTGCTTTTAACAGGAAGAAACCTCTGGCAGAACCAGGCTTAGTGTGCTGAAGCCGACTGGGGTTTAAGGAGACAGAAGCAGAGATTCAACAGGCAACTGTAAAAGTCGGCCCCATGCAGGAAACACACAGCCAGGCAGACGAGCTCTGAGCCAGCTCCCATGCCAGAGGATGAATAGAGCACATTCAGGCAGTCACAGTCAGAGAAACAGGACTACACTGTAAAACAGGCTGATCTCCAACATCTATAAACAAAGGTGTTGATGGCAGCAGCACAGCTGATATTTATCTCTAGGATGGAGTCACAGCCAAAAAGAAACAGATGAGGCGAAGCTACTATGAGAAAAAGCAGAGGGAGCATAACCTTGACTTTAAATACCACATAGTTCACCCCAGAAAGCTATGACCTCTTTAAGCAGAATATTACTTTTTTTTTCCCCAAAGAAACATGTTTAGCATTCGTTTGAGGGTCAAAGAAGCAAAATAGAGGCGTTAACATTAGGGGTAAAACAATTAATCAGATTAGTCATGATTAATCGATTATTGAAATACTTGTCAATTAATCTAGTAATTGATTAATCGCTAACTGGAGTATAGAGATTCTAAAACATGCCTTTAGCTGACAGAGCAACCAACTTAGAGCAGTAATTACAGCCAAATTGAACATTTTACATTCAAGATAAAGAAATCTTGTTCATCCGTTGGCACTGCAATTTGTGTATTTCCTCTAAATTTTCGGTTTCCTGTGCAGAGATTTATTGTTGGTTGTTATGGTAGGAATGTTTTCCATACATTTTTTCCATCATAAATATCTGATGCTTGCTGCGTGTCATTGAAACAGGTCAAAAGGCCTGAGTAGATTAAACTGATTTGCATCAGATCAGTTAGTGTTGCAAGCAGAAAACTGCTGCTGTTGTCTGACTGCATTAACTGTAGCAACAAAGCTAATTGACTCAAAGTGTAATTATGTTTTCGACCATGTGCTTCCCCAGGATGGCCCCCAGGAAGACGGCCAAAGCAAAACCAAACAGGAGAGTGCTTGGCTCTTCAGGCTCTGGTATACGTTCGATCACAAGTATCCTTTTTTGTGTTCAGCCACGGTGTGAATCATTTGTGATTCAATCACAAGGTAAAAATATCTGTATGATCTATTGGCAAACCCCACAGCCTGTCAGGATGATCGTCCGGTCCTCATTTTCTATGTGAACCGGTTTATCCTGGATTCAATGAATCAACGCCATTTTATGAAATGTTTGTTCTTCACTCCCGGTCGCCTCCAACAACAAGCTCGAGGTATTGCGTTTATTTACTCATCTTCCCATTTCCTCCACCCTTCCCATCCCTGTAAAACAATTGTCTCCCCAGGTGGTTGATTGTGTTCCTGCCTTTTAGCAGGGAGGCTGTTGTTTATAACAAGGGAAAGAAAAATCTCCTGGTGTTGCATGCTTTTTTGAGGCCAAAGTAAAGGTGGATTTGGCTCATTTTGCAGCTCTGACCCACTTATCTGACACACCATGTTGTTGCTCCTCTGCAACTGACCACTGGACTAAATAGAAGAGAATGATGCATGGGACCAGCTGCTTCCAGTGTCCATAATCACAGGAAGATTCAAACGCAGTACTTGGCTTCCCCAGCAGGGGTGGAGCTAGATGGAGGGGGTCCAGGGGTGGCCATGGCCAGCCTTAGCCAATCATTGGCCACCCCTACTATTATTTCCCTCCAATATAGATGGTAGCAGCAGTGATACTCTCAAGTGGAAGAGTCTTCAGTAAAATTGCTAAGTAATATAGATAATTATTACCTACTATAGATAATATTGTAATAAAACATATTCAATAATCAATGTATGTAGATATTGGTACTTGTAAATATGAATTTTATGCAGAATGATTATTGATAAAAGTAGTTAAGTAACGACAATGGAAAATATGCTGTCCCCAGAACTCAAACCTTAAAGAATTGTATCCACTATACCTTTTATCTAGAAAGCACAGATGTGTAGATATTTATTAATCTATTTGTTAGCAATGGTTGTAGGAAAGTATAGTTTGTCTTTATTTAGAAAATATGGATGATGTGCCCATTAATTTTCCTGTTGTAGATTGAACCTGAGGTTCTGGCACCTATCAACTTTCGGCCTCCCCTCAGTTTACATTGGATATACCCTGGCCCCCCTTATAAAACTTTTCTGGCTACGCCTCTGTTCCCCAGAGGCCAACTTGACTGGTTATAAGCAAAAGGCTGAAAAAATGTCAGATTCCTTCTTTCGTACTTCTTCAAAATCAGAATATCATTTTTTGTGTATATGTATAACATAAATAACTACCAGGACATACACTGTGAAATATTTGTAATTTTGCTTTTCCAACTGTTTCAGGTGACATTCTGTTTAAATTCTCCCTAAATCTTGTTTTTTCCCAGTTTAGGTTGAAGCTTTATCGATGTTTTCATGATGTTTCTTGTGTGCATTTTTATAAATGGCTTGTAAATGTTGTGTTTCATTCTCCTTAATAATTTCCCAGTTACCTTAAGCCCATTTTGACACACAGCGGCCCACCTCTTACCTCCACTCTGCCCAGCTACTGTGGGCCACTGGCCAGCTGCCTGACCAGTCCTCGTGCATATGAAGTAAGTATTTAAAATATATAGTTATGTTTTTATTGTGATAAAAGATCTATGCTCCAAAACAAAATTATTTCATAAAAATTTGGACATTTGTTCCATATTTATACTTAAAGAGGCCCTATTTAGCTATTTTGTTCCTATACTAATGTGCGAATGAATATCCAATTTGCAGATCATGTTCACTGTAAGGCTAGCAAATGCTTTTGCTTATTATTTTAAAAATAGATACCATATTTGACATGGTTGTAACTTCCCCAAAAGTTTTGTTGTTGTGAGTCATAAAATTAAAATGGGGAATGTTGATTACTCCTGACATAAATAAACAACTTCTCTTCTGCTTCTTACACCAGTATAATAAAATGAATGTTTGCTTAAAGTAAACGGGAAGCAACAGTAACACTCGGTGATAAACACACTCCAGTCTGTGACTGATTTAAGGAAGGATAGCTTTAGCACAGTCAGCAGTTTCGGTGCCAAAAGTGGCTCTGGATGTCATTTGTGTGCATAAAGTTTCCTGGGTACATTTTACCTCTATTTTAGTGTCATCTGTCATGAAATTATTTCTTAAAGCCACAGATAAACTTGTCAAATCAATATCTTCTCTCCGAATGGTGTTCCTACAATATAAATAGACCTCCTTACATTGAATTTTCTTCAGGGAACTTAACTTACAGTAGGATCATCCTGGGTTTTAATTGCCTTGAACCCTTTGTTTCTATATTTTTATTGCAAATTAATAGAAAAGGAAACTAAATACACTGCTGTTTTTATTTGAAGATGTACATAAAATGCTTCCCAGTTCAAGATCTGAGTCTTAAGAGTCTAGACTTCCTCTTTTTGAAAATGTTGAAGATTTCCCTTTTGTGTTTTCAAAAGAATAAAATAAATGTAGAATGATTCTAAAACTGTGTTTTAAATAATCTTCATTGTAGAAGCATCAATTTTTAACCTTGGTAAGTTTAATATTTGAGTTTGTGGCAGTTGGAAGATATGAAACCAATACTCACATTAGCACAGCTTTAACGGCACAAAAATTAACAAAAAGATAATTTATAATATAATTCTATCCTTACTTCAAACTAGGAGTGCAAGACAGTATTGAGATGGTATAGAACCCCTAAGAAATCAATAAATTCACTACAGGAGTAATCTTCCTGTACAATCACATCTAAATGATCTAACGAATAAAATCATTTGGGATAAAGAGCTGCTTTTAATTATTTTATTTTTTATATCTAAATGGTTGAAAATTTATGCTCCTTCAAGCTGAAGATGACCAGACAAGAAAATCCTTATACCTCTTGGAAAAACTAAAAAGAAAAAAAGAAATAACTTGGATGTTTGAAGGTGTCTGCATGTTATTTTTCACACTTTCGACAGAAAGAATGAAATTTCCCTTCCCTTAGTTAAAGTGAACAGTTACATGACTAAATCTAACAACTAGTGGCAAAAAAAAAAAAAAAAACTTTCTAATAACTAACAATGAGCCTTTTGCATCACTTTGGAGAAATTTTGCTTGACTTCTCTGTAAATATTACACAAGCTCCTTTGGAGGTATTTTGATATTTCACTTTCGGATTTTCAGCCATAAGCAGAAGTATTGAGTTGTCGGTCTGCTGGTGACGTTTCTCAGTCGTCCAGGTCATAGTGATTCCAAAATAATTAAAAGAAGCAAACCCCTGATCTTGGTTTCCAAGTTTTAAGAAGTTTCGCCTCCCATTTGGGAAGCTTTTTCCAATTCAAAATGTAAGAATTAGCATTGAGTTCGAAGGTTTATATAGCAGCCCAAAAACTTGTTTTGGTTTAGAAAACATGCAAATTGAACCAGAAAAAAACGGGTCCGCCCCTCAGGAATCATTAGGGAGTCATTTTAGGTTCTTTGTTAGCCGGCAATACCCGATACTGGTCTGTGCCTCTGAAAGGAGGGTCGCTAGGGGACATTGTTTGCTTGGCTGTCCAGGAGAGATGTTTAGTACCCTTACATGGGGGTGGAGAGTTGAAATGATAGCAGGAAGGAATCAGCTCTATTGCTGCATATTGAGTTGTCTGCATCCAGAAGAAACAAAGCAGACAAGGTGATCATTTGCTCCAAGGCTGTATTAGTTTTACATCAGATTTAACTGGATTCACACCTTTTAAAACCTTCTGAATTTTGGTTGTCATCCAAACACAGCAACATTTTAGATATAAGCAATTCAATTTTTGAAAGAAATTAGTGTATTTTCTCTTATGTTAAGCGGCCTGGAAAATCAGTCAATCGATTTATATTTGAAATAAAATATCTTTTTTTGCATAATATCTGATGATCTTAAGGGCAAACGTTTTTATTCCACTGGCAGATCATTGTATCTACCTGTCTAAATTAAGCAAAAAAATGTTATTTTGATCAATTTGAACTCATTGTTAGATCAGTTTTTGCAGTGTAGTATATTTTTCCAAAGGTTTTAAGGATCATTGAGGTCATTGTCATGCTATAGTTGTTGATCTTGAGTTTAAAAGTGACACGTTTACCCTTTTTTAGTTAATGTTCACAACTTTCCTTCATAGATCTGTTCCTAAATTTATTTTAGACTTATGCTGTTTTTTTTAAACATTTTTTTAACCTACTTCATGCTATCAGTAAGGTGCTAAACGAAAGGATTTCTATTTATGAGATGTAGGTTTTTAGAAACAACTCTGCTTCCTTTAATTATAAAACAAGAAAAGAAATTATGATAAATCTTTTTGTTGTTGTTGTTGCCTGGATTAATTACATAATGATCAAAAATAATCAAATGAAAACTGAAACTATTTAAATTCTCTTACCTTTGTCTGGTGACTGACTTCAAGTGTGACATATTAAGGTAAAACTGCATATATTACTTCAGAGTGCTGTATAAGAGTAAAAACAAGAAGAAGATTATCAGATAAAACCTGCGATAAGCCTTACGATAAAGGTCAATAAGGGACCTTTATTTCTGTTGTAATTTTTTTTTATTGGGTGTTTAAATGTGAATTTCTTCTATTAATAATTGTATTGTAGCTGAATTGCTAGGCTTTGAATAACGGTCAAACTGATGTAGCAAAGTGTCTTCATAGCTGAGCCTGATGAAGGCTGTCTGTGAACCTGCATACTAAAAATGTCCTTTTTTTCCTTCCCTCTCTGGAGAGTATTGTCCAAATATTCTGCCAGTAAACGCACAAAGAACTACGGCCTTCAGCTGAATTTAAGACGGAGGACTACATTTTATTGGCACAAAAGATGCTTTCAGCTCCAGCTCAATAATGCCCAGTATTCACTGACATTTAAAATACAAAAATTCCCATTGAAGCTTTAGTCATGCTGATTTCCCTCTTGCTATGTCTCCTTTTTATTCTAAGTAAAATGCCAAATATAAGGGGATTATTCATGATTCCAAATTGGATTTCTGCATATAAAGATGCATTGTCCTGAATTTTTGTTTGGGTCTTAAATGGAGCGGGTAAAAAACGTTTTCCTCCTACAGTTTGGAAGCTGCAGCCTTACAGGTTCCCCAGGAATTTAGGAGCCTGGCTGTATAATCAGAGCTTCTCAGAGCTCTGTCCCACCATGAGGGAAGAAACAGGATTAGATCAAGTTTATCTCCATGTTCCTCTTTAGTTAATGATGTTATGGAATTCCTCTTAACTGAAGCTAATTCAGGCATTAGAAAACTGCTGCGACTCATAATGCTTCTACAGCTGGAAGGCTTACACTTTCTTTTAAATTTGTTTTATTCTTAGAAGTAGAAAATAAAAGCTCACTGTGGGGGTGGGGGGTGCATTGAAAATCCATCAGCCTGCTTTTTAACACCCCCACCAATGTGACACCCGTGCTTTAACACAACTAAAGACTTTCTTCTTTAAAACTGGGTCACAAAATCTACAATTTCCTGTTCTAAAAGCTTAAGCCATTTCGTTGACATTAACTACTGAAATGGGACTAAAGTGAGCATTTGTTTCAGGCCTGTTTTCAGCCAGATGTTAATGCGCTTTATGCTCACGTGATCGCTGCAGCAGAACAGCCGTGCATGCTCTGGGATGTGTATCCCTTTTGAAATTAAGTGGCCTTTGTTAAAACTATTAAAGAGCACAATAGATTTGAATGGATTCATTCATGGAAGTATGGAAGTATCTTGTTTCCCCTTCAAATATATTTTTCCCAGACATGTCTTGTTATGTAATATTTTAGTTGTATCCAGTGAGCTGAATAATCCTTTCATTGACCTGGCATGGGCTCCCCTCCCTCCCAGTGGAAATGGGTTGGCTATTGAATTCCAGCTATTCGGTCAGAGTTGGGGCTGCTTGTTATTTAATCAGCATGCAACATGTGTTTTCTTTCTCGTTGTGTGTTTATGACTCGACTCAAGTCTGGGCCTCATAGATTGAGCATTCGTGTACCTCAAAGCAGACTGTGGTTTCCTGTTTTTTGGGTCTTACCTCACTGGTTGCTGCAGCACTGACGACAGTCCCTCTTTCATTTCTCATGAGTACTTACATTGTAGAAGTCTGCATCTGTTCACAGTTCTTATGCAGACTGTGGTATGTCTCTCTGATGTTTAAATCTGGGTTGTGATTTCAGAACCAGGAGCAGCTAAGGGACCCCGACAATGACTTCGTCCACAACGACGCAGATCTGACCTTCACGTTTGGGGACACGTCCATCACAGCCAACGGGGCGTCCGCCAGCAGGACGGATGCCGCCGGGGGGCCGGGCTGGAGTGCCAATGGAAAAAGGAGCGGCAGCACGTCAGAGGAGGCCCTGGAGCGAGAGCTGGACTCCCGCGAGCAGGAGCTGCTGAGCCGAGGCACGCGCCTGGTTTTCCCCATGGAGGAGCATGTCTGACCCTCCTCGCCTGCCTTCCCTCCCACTCGCCCTGCCTGAACTTCCACCCTCTCTAGTCGAAAGAGAATCCTGCCATCAGCTGTCTCCACTCCGGTGCAGGCAGATTGCTCATCCCTTCAGAGATAAGATGGATCAAAGATATGGGAGCTGACAGGAAGGAAGGGTTCATCATGACCTGTAGCTTCCTCAAAGCCGGGGAGCAGAGCTCCAGGAGCATTTCATCCTCATTAGATAAGGAGTTTATTCCAAAGAAGACACAATACTCCTGTGGGGGTAGAAGGGGGGAATCTTTAGGCTTCTTCAGACTCATTTTTTTGCAGAAAAGGACAAAAAGTTTTCTCGCCGGGAAAGGAAATGATGTAAAACCACGCAAAACAATCTGTATGTTCAAACAGATAACAGTTAGTGGTTGAGCAGAGGGGGAAGACATGTCTGATCACGTTAGGAGACATATCACCCGTCAGCATTGCCAAACCACCAAAAGTGACTTTGACAAAAATTTCTGGAGGTAAATGTCTACCTGAACACGTTCCAACTCTGCATAGTTTAAGAATACAAGCATGTAAATAACAGCAGTGGTGGAGTTTGTTTCCTTTTGGTTGAACTGTTCATAAAGCCCAATAACACATGGTTATAGACAGTAGGTGAATATCTTCTCTTCCCGTCCACCTGGATCATGTTCTGTGTTCAACTGTATCTCATGACACAAGAAGGAACATCTGACATCTTAAAATTGCATTAGCGAATTAAAAAGGGCATGAGGATTTGCACTTTAACTTAAACGCCAGCTTAGATGGTGAAGTAAAGAGCTGGCTAGTGTAGCATTTCATTCCAGCATTGTCTGTTGATCATTTGAATTTTCAAAGCAACTATTAATCCTAAAATATGCAGGACAAAGTATGCAATCTTTATATAGTGGATATGTTGATGTTCTAAGATAAAATCAAGTCATTAACTTTAGTAGATTAGCTTGTTTTTTTTTTGTTGGGTTTTTTTTTTTACTTTAAGACCAAAAATCTGTTGTTAAATTACAAAAATTCTCAAATCAAACTTTTCTTTTTTAAGAATATTTTAGCCTAAAATCCAGGAGCAGGGAAGACTTAGCATGGTTAGCTTATATTGCATCTGTAAAACTCAATAATTAACTTCTGATTAGTTTGTTTCAGATGTAAGGAAAATCATAAAGTAAGGAAGGCTTTTCAGAAAAGTTGTGAAGATTTGACAAAACGTAAAATTGTTTTGGAGAAAAACAAAAGGAAAATTTAGTGCTGGTTTAACTTGGTTTACATCATCTCTTAAAATGAATATATATCATAAATATGACACATAAACAGCTTAAACTAAAACAGAACACTTATTTATAAAGACTTTAAATTATACAACTTTTAGTTTGGGCATATTCCTCATTTTTATTTTCTTAAATAAAAAAATACAAGGGATTTTTTTCCCACGCTGTACACACATTAATAAAAGGAAAAAATGGAGGGAGATAATGGAAGGATAAACCCTCTTGTGTATATATATTGTTTACAAATCCTGACATTTTAAATTGCTAAGTTACAGACAGTGAATTTAGAATTAATATTTTTATGATATTGGAGACTTTCCAGAGAGATGTTGCTTTAAATGGAAACAAATATTCTTTCATGGCCAGTGTTTTACAATGAAATAAGCTTATTTCTCAAATGAATGACAGTATAATTCAAAATTAGATTACATTTAAATTAAGCACAATGGCTCTCTCTCATCAGCCAGGATTTAAATCATTGGTCTAATTTAATCTTAATTTGCAGTGAATAGATTTTATTGCTCAGTTCAGTTTCCCGCTGTTATTATTTTATCTCATTTATACTCTTCTAAACAATATTACTACTATATCTGTTGTGCTTTAGTGATCAAAGGCTTCCTCTTATGCATATTTACTACCAGCAAGAGAAAAAGAAAAAATGTTGCATATTTTTCGTCTGAAGATTTGATTGAGTTTCAAACTCAAAATTGCCCTGGGAAAAAAGAAAATGTGACCAATAGTTTGTGTTTATGCACTCTTGGCACTTTACACCCAGCATTGGAGCTGGAGGAAGATTTCGAGTTTCTACTCCTACCTTCACCCGTGATAACTGAGCCGCTTCCTGTTTTATATTCACAAAGCAGCCCGGTGGAGCCCTTAAAATCCACCTGACAACACAAAATAGCTGCTGCTTTTATGCATGAATGCATGGAGACAGGCGTGAAAGGCATGACTGTTAGAAGTTGAATCTGAGGCTTTTTACAGGAGGAGGAATCTCCAGCAAGTTTTATGGCTCCCCAGAGACATCCAGGAGGAAATGAATCTAGTAGGGTAAGCTGTTGCCAGGCTGTATACAGAGCAGGCCATTTAAACACAGCTGGAAGGAGAAGTGTTATGAAGCAGAATAATTCAGTTCAGTCTGTTCTTTTGCTTCTTTTTTTTTTTTGTGACTGTAAAAGCCTGTATGTGAAATTTGTAATAATCACCTGTTAATCATAAAACACTTCTAATGCATACACTGTCTCTGGAAAAAAATGTGGGGGAAAATAATTTACTTCAAAAAAAATAAATCTAAATCCAGAAAAAGAAATCAGACGACACAGATTTGGCTTCCTTGTTGAAAATGTCTTTTTTGTTGTTGTTGAAGAGTCTGTTTTATTAACAGAACAGGAAGTTACATCAAATGACAGATGTAGTGCTTTCTCCCACAGACATGGAGGACTCGATAGACAGACGTCACACAGACGACTAAAACCATGAAGACCAGCAGAGGACACTCGTTAAACACTCTACCTTTCCATACCCCCTCATTTGTTATCATTTGTCCTGTGGGTTAGATTTAAATTCTATCTACACCTGAGAAATACGAGATGTAGACAAATTGTCAATATGTGCACCTGTTGTATCCGGTAGCAGCTGGTACCCTGGCTGTGTGTGCCACAGTCTGCATGTCATCATATTAATAACAATCCAGAATATCTGGGGCACCGAGCAGTTTGCTCCACCTACCTCTGAAATGTATAATAAGATGCACCACAGTGACACCATGTTGCTCATCTTCGGCTCAGAAAATGACCATATAAATTACATGTTGCATGATATTTTTGGTAGCTGTAGTGGTGAGTTATAACTTTGAAAACAATCTGTTAAACCTGCACCTGATGGGTACTATAGGAACTAGTGTGTGTTGCAGTGTGTACAGTGCTTTCCATAAGTTTTCATGTCACATGTAGAGATTTTTCAAACCTGCAGAAAAGATCAAGAGTACCATACTGGAGTGTGCCGCCATTTTTACAATCAATGCATTAAGAACACACTGGAAGTAAGTTTAATGAGGTCTTATTAGATCACCGCACCTTAGGTTTAGGTTTCTCATCCACCAACATTCAGATTAGGATTAGACCTCATGTGATGGGGGGGTAAAGAGGAAGTAATTATAAAATCTAAGCCAAACCAAGGCTTTGTTTGGGCTACTCTATAAGCTTTAAATGCTAATTCTGACATTTTGAATTGGAAAAAGCTTCCTGGAAACTTGGAAAACAAATCCTTAGATTTAAGTTTCCTCTAAAAACTTCCGGTGGAAAATTTATTTTAATTAGAAGTTTTTTGGCAAATGTAGCAAATGGAGTAAAGAAAACAATAATCTTGCAAAACTGAGATACTTATGCACTTAAAATAAGGTACTGGAGATTTTTTTTTCTGATTTTATATGTTATTCATCTTATTCCATTGGTCAGTTTTTGTTTACCTGCTCCAATCAAGGGTAAATACAGTTATTTTGAGAAAAACTGACTTACTTAGATGTTTCATTTGCTAGTATACAAATACCAGTCGGGGATTATTTGTGTCTAAAGCTTTTAATTGGACAGAAGATAAAAACTTTAAGTTTCCTTATGTTTTCCAATAAAAAATTACAAAAAAACCATTTAAAGATTCAGGCAAATTAACCAACGTGCTGTTAACCGACTGCTGTGCACTTCTGGTGCCTCTTGAAAAGATTAAAGCTGTGGTGGAACCATCATGGTTTGGGAAATGCCTTTTTTTTTGCCCTTCAACAGACTGAGGCTGGTCAGTTTATGTTAATGCAGATTTTTTTTTGGTACAAATAAAAAAAAATTCCCCCTTCTTGATCTACACAAAAATTTGTGTTGGTCTCTGATGTTAAAATGAGAAAACACCACATGTGGTAACTTCTGCAAGGCACTGTACATAATGATTAGCTGTGATTGGCTACGATTGAGCATGTCACATGTTTTCTGGTTGCCCTTGAAGATTCGCACCAGTTGTATTTTTAACTGAGCGAAGCATTCAGGACAAAGTCAGCTCATGTTCCAAACTTACTGCCCTGCTCTGCTGGTCAATAATCAACTGGGTTGATCATAGAGATCATGACTGACAGATTTATTACAATCAGTAACACAATTTCTTTGAATTTTAAATATTTAAAGAGTTTTTCTTTCACATTTTTTACACATATTCATGTTAAATAATAATGAAAACAGAACCAACTTTTGAAGTTGAACACATCGATGCTGCCAAACCCCTCAAGCACATCCATGGGGACATCACAGCATGTGAGACTGTTTTGGACCATTGGGGATTAAAAAAGGAAGATGTCCGCCGGTGGAGGACGGATGATGATCTCCAGGAATTTTTGTGGTGTATTAGAACATTTCACACCCATGTGAGAGATTTGTCAGTGGGGCTCTGCAGCTGTCTGGATTCCTGAGAGGCCGGGGGCGGAACAGTAACTCCTTACGTTTGGCTTTCCTTTCTTTCATCCCAAAAAAAAAAAAAAAACTGTAGTTTCTTCTTTCAGAGCTCTGCATTAGATCTGTTAGTGAGCCTGTCTCTGTTTTAATATCAGTAAATCAGTAATTCAAGGGTCTGGTGCTGTGCTCTGTGACGTGCCGGATGGATCAGTGGCACAAGCAAAGGCGAACCTGATGCTGCCAGCCTGGATTAATGTCCCGAGAAATGCCCATCTCAGGTTTTTTTATGGCCGTCGCTAAAACAGGATCTGAGGGGGAGATTAGTGTTTCTAAAAGGATAGAGGTCAGCCTGAGTAACAGCAGCGCAAACCAGCCCCGTCTGTTTTATCCCCCTCCCCATGTGCTCCCCCGTCTCCACGGACCCTGCTGGTGTCAAACAGGCAGCGCGGTGAGAAAATAAGCTTCCTTCTCCCCGTTTCAAATCAAACTACATCCGATTGGCTGCTCTTTCTACCCCCTTCTTTTTCCTCCTCCTCCCCCTTCCAGTATCAGTATGTCTCCAGTTCATCGACCCAGCTCGGGTGAGGATAAAAACAACCCCAGAGGCACGCTTGAGAGCTCCTGGTGGGCTGCATTCCTGCAGGCTGTTTTGTTATTCCACCTTCTGCCCCTCAACCTTGATTAGAACCCTGCAGGGGAAAAGAAATGGAAAAGTTTAACATCCAGCTGCACAGTTTATCAGATGTAGTAAAACTCCACCAAAGCCCACTATCAGGGCCCTGTCAGTACTGCAGGGTCACGACGGTGGACCCCTCCCTCCATGTAGACGTGTTGGAGGCCTCACAGCGGTGAAGGACCTTGCCTGTAAGAGCTGCTGGTGACAGCGTGGTCGTAACCCTGCGGGGAGCTCTACCCCATCGCGGACAGACACGAACAATGACCCCCTTCTTGACAGCGCAGTGACTCACTGCCAGCGCCCCCTCAGCTACCCAGGAGGGGACCCAGCTATGCCAGGGACAGAACAACGAGCCCTCTATGAAGCAGTTGGACGTTAAAGAGAGCTGAAATATTTCTCATTTTCACCCTTGGATCTCTGCAGTTTTTCATTCGAACAAGCGTTACAAAGCAATGCTACAGAAGGATTTATCTTTATGTGATGTTTCACAAACAGGATTAACTTGAAAGCTCAAATAGACTACAACGGCAGGAAAATAATCCTGCCACATGAATCTTAGCTTTATTTTTTAGCACTACAAACACCTTCATTTATTTGGTCAGATTAGACAAAGGGAGTTGCACGGTAGGAGACAAATCATGAATTTCTATCAGTAAAATTTAAAGGGGTCATAGAATGCAAAACCGAGTTTACATTGTCATAGATGAATAACGATAGTTCCATGGGTGAAATGGACGTACAGAGAAGTTCAAACCCCATCGACACCTTTCCCTGCAAATCTCACATTTCTAAACTTCCACCATATAACGGGCGAATTCAAACAAAGCACTGAATTGACCTAAACTTGGGGATCTTGCCTTATTTCGTTCTGGCCTGTGCTTTTGTCCCGCCCCGAAATTGACATACAGACCAGCCCACTGGTTCACGGCCCAAGAACATGAATAGAGGTAGATGTAAGACATCAGTTTAGCCGTTTATCCTACAGTTGGGTTTACTTCTACAAGAATTACAAAGCAGGCAGTTTCTCTATTGAAAAGGAGTCAGAACCACGGGTGGAAATGCAATGTTCCAGGCTGCAGGGTGAAAGGGGAAAAATTTCAGTCTTCCCAAGGATCCGAAGACTCGACACACTGGAAAAACGATCTAAAAAAAAGTAAAAAGTTCTTAAATTAAGTGTATTTACCCTTAATTTGAGAAGGTAAATAAGATAGTTTGCCAATGGAATGAGTATTTTTACTCTTAAAATAACATAATTAGACAATATTTATTTGAAATAAGACAATGCAATTTTGTTTTCTTATGTTAAGTGTAAATTGTCTTGTTCCATTGGCAAAATGTATCTTTTACCTCCTCAGTCCAAGAAAAAATGACTTATACAGATTAGGATTCCTTCCAGGGCAGGCATGGATTATTTTTGTACCTGCAAAGTTTGATGCTCTGCTGTTCATTTGCTGTAAGCATTTTACCGAAGACAGCTTTCAAAATCTTGGACAGTTCAAAGAGGATTAAACTTCTTTTACTGAGCCGAGGGGCTGTTCCGACTGTCAGGCCATCACAACCGCAAGCTGGAAGTATGATTCTGTTGCCAAGCTGTTGACAGCAGTGCTGGCATATGTCAACAATTTGATGTTTAAGGGAGTGAGTGCTTGTTGCTATGATGCATCTTTGCTCAGCAGCTTTACTCGTTGTAAACCAACCAATCAGCGCACAGCTCATCTAAATATTCATGACCATAACATAAAAGGAAGAAAACCTGTCGTTTCATTCTGGGGCTTATAACCAGGCTTGCATTAGGGCTCATAGAACAGCAAATATGCCATTTTCAGCCCAATCAATGTTACACACCCTATTCAGAGACCTGAAGGACCAGCACCAAATACCCTATAGAATCATTCTATGAACCATTTAAAGAAAAAAAAAAAAATCTACCCTCCATTATGGTTCAGGGTGTTCAGTCTTAGTTTTCTAGCACGGTGTTTTGCATGGACTGTAATTCATCATCATTATCACTTTAAAGTTTTCCTTTGCCAAATTTCTAGTGTTTTTCTAATGCTAAATCTTTGCTCTGCTTGCCCTGCCATGATGCCACAAAACAGGCTTCTCAGAAGCAAACTGATCAAGTCCAGTTACCTTTTAGCCTGCAAGTGGTAGCCACAAGCAGAATGTCAGAATTTACCGAGATTATTATATAGACTTTGCATTATATACAATTGGACTCTATGATTTCAGGAAAAAATGTTTTTTTTTATTTCTAAACCAGTTTAGAAAAAAAAAAAAAAGTTGATCTTTCTTCCTGCATTGTTTTGTGTTGGTGTATTGTATAAAATCTCAGAAATATAAAATATGCTGAAGTGTTCAGTTTTACACTGTAAAAAAATGTGTAATGGTTGAATTCTAATTTTAAAAGCCCTTTAAAATGGGCTAAAAAGGCAAGACTGATCTAAAAAGGAAAACTGTAACTCAACAATATAGATTGGGGTTGTTATCCTGGATCTGAGTTTGTTGAAATCAGCTCAACAGGTGGCTCCACATCTACAGGGGCGGAGC